CGCAGAGGCCACCCAGGGGTGCGCCAAGGAGGGGAGGAGCGCTGGGCTCTCGCGCTCGTGCGGCAGCATGCCTGCGATCGACCGGCTGGACACAGGGGGGGGGGGGGGGGCCGGGAGGGGGGAGGGGGCAGCCACACCCGCAAGCAGGCAGAGAAGCGGGCAGAGGGCGGGAAGCGGAGGCGGGGGCGCTCGTCGGGGGCGGTCGTCGGGGCGGAGGCGGGTGCGGCAGGCGCGGGCGTGCCGGGAGCACCGTAGCTGCTGCTGGCGGCGGAGGCGGGGAGTGCGACCGGCGCGGGCGCGCCAGGAGCAGCGTAGCTGCTGCTGGCGGGTGCGGCCCGGGGAAGCGAGGGCGACGATGATGCTGAGAGGGGGGGGAAGGGGGATGCTGCATGGAAGTGGGAAAGCCTTCCTACGCCTCTTTCCCCTTCCTCCTCTCCGCTCCTCCCCATCCTTTTCCCCCCCTCCCTCTCTCCCTTTCCTCCCTCGTTCCCCCCTTCCCCTCCTATAGGGCTCCCCCAAACAATTTACAACAGTAGGGGATCCTTGTCTCCCCGCACTCTTCATTCTCCCCCCTCCGCCACCCTCCTTCTCCCTTCTCCTCTCTATTGTGTTCCTTTCCCTCTGCTCCTTCCCCCCTGCTTTCTTTTGGCTAGAGCAAACCCAGGCGCATCTGCCCGATCGGGCGAACCTCTTGTGAATTAGGTCCGAGCATGAACCGGTTACTACTTTATCATCGCCACCTGGTTCGCGGTGGTGGTCTTCTGCGGCAGGAGCTTGTGGAGCTCGTTGGCCTTCCCAAGCGCGCTGCTTTCAACGAATCGGTGTATCGGCATCCCTTTCCCCACCGCCACCCAATTCGCGGTGCTGGTCTCCTGCCGCGTGGACCAACAACGCTCTTGTGGAATCAGCTGGTCTTCTAAAACGCGCTTCCTTAAAATAATCGGCGTATCGGCATCCCTCACCGTCACCCGGTTCGCGATGTGCTGGTCTTCTGCGGCGTCGCCATGGGCCTGGTCTGCTTACTTTTGGGGAGCGCTCCGTCCTACCAATGTGTGCTGTTCGATACTGCCGTCAGCCTTTTCATCATAGTCACATGGTCCGCGGCGCCGCTCGTCTGACACGTCGCCCTAGACCCTCGCATGTGTTCCACCAACGCGTACTGGAATTAATGTATAGTATGCCGTTCCATCGCCGTCGTCTGGCTCGCGCTGCTGTTCTTCTGCGGCGTCGCCCTGTGCCGCCCTGCTCATTGCGGCGAGCGCTTGCTGTCCTGCCCCACTGTGCAGCTGAAGAGTAGCGCCAGCTCCTTCATCACCACCATCTGGTTCGTGATACTGTTCCCTTGCGGCGTCGTTTTCGGTCTGCTTCTCGGCTTCTTGTCGGCGGGTCGTTGTTTGCATTGCCTGGGCGAGCGGGGCTGTCCATGTGTCTCGTCAGCAGGACCCTTTCTTCTGTGGGTTGTTTTCTTGAACTCTTCATTGGTGTCGCCATCCTCTTATGTGGCGAGGGCCTCGTGCATCCGTTCGGGAAGGTTCGTGCTGCAATGCGGCGACTACTTCGTCGGCTGCCAATTTCCACGCGTTTGGCGCCCTTGCTTGATCCAGCTCTGCGGCTCGGCTTATCCGCCTCTCAGCAATACCTGCGGCGCGAGGCCAGGTTGCTGTACAGCGCAGCCCTTGAGCTCGTCTGGCCGATCTCCGCCCTGAGCCATACAGTGATGTCTCTTGCCCGTGGCGCGGGCCTGCTGCCCGTCTGCCGCCCGCATGCAGGCTGGACTGCCGGGGCTTGCATTCCTGGAGTGGTGCCCGTGCGCGGAGCTGTGGACCGCACACCTGCTCGCGGGGCCCGTGCTCGCGTGCGGCCACCCGTCCAAGGGGCCTCCTCTCTGACGCCTCCCAGGCCGTCTCAACGTTTTCTGTACGCCTTAGTGCCTTCGGCAGTTTCGACATGCAGCAACATGCATTAAGCAAGCATCCTCGGTCTTCCTTCCATCCTCTGAGAGAGGAGGAGGAGGAGGAGGTGGAGGCGGTGGAGGCGAATGAGAGTAGGATGGCATGCGCTGACCTATCTGTGCCTTCCTGGGGCCAGCGGAAGGGCGACAGCATCTGACATCACCTTCACGCCTGGGCTCACCACCATGGCGGTGTAGAGCTGGTCCGTGTGCGGCTCCAGCGACAGTGCCTCAAGTCGGCATCGGGACGCCCTGCGGGCGAACACTGCCGGATCCACCTCATCGTAATTCAACGGCTTAGCGTAAGTCGTCTTCTCCTGGAGAGTGCCGTGCCACATTGGAAACGCATGCTTCCTCAAACAAGGGGGTATGTGGACACTTTCCATTGTCAACTGTGTTTTTACTCTCAGCGAAGCTTGGCCTGATTAAGCTCCTCCTTTATTAGAGAGATGAAAGGCATGGGGCAATGGGAAAAAGTGTCCTGAAAGAAACGGGTTTTTGACCCCTAGGGTTTCTTCGAGATCAGCTTTTCATCTTGAATATTTTTCTGAAGGTCCTCAGGCCCTAAGAGCAAAGGAGGCCGAAAAGGCAAACGATCTCAGAACCCGCTTCCATCAGGACGCCTCTTCTCCACTGTGAGACGATGCACGTGGATGCGAAACTTCAGACGGCAGGTCCCTCGGGGGGAACCTTGGCGCGGGCCCATCCCCGCACGTCAGCAGCGCTTCAGTTCGTACAACTCTGAACTGCGTCGCAAGGCACTTCATTGCCTTGCATTGTATTGGCCCCTTGCCTTGCGTAAGCAATGATTGCACGTCGTTGCTTTGCGTTGCAGTGCTCTGCGCTGAGTTGTGTTATTGCACTGCGTTGCCTTACATTTCCTGGCATGGTATTGCATTTCCACTGCCATGCAATTGCAATGCAATGTAAAACAAATGATCGAACACGTGAAACAACCAACGCCGTGTAATGGCAATGCGCTGTGACAGCAACGCGCTGCACCACACTGCAAGTATGGCAATTCATTGCAAATCCAAACGTGAGCCGGCGGCCGAGTGCTATCTTGTAGGGACTGCAAGTCTTCGAATGGACCCCCCCCCCCTCTCCTCGCGCTTCCTTGCGTGTATCCCTCCGCTCTCCCGAGGGTTCTTGGCGCCTGGGCGCCTCTCCGGGGCTCCCCATGACGCTCTGAAGCGGCCGCGACGGCTCAGGAAGGCCACCGAGGCCGCCCGCCAAGCTAGCCTAACACTGTTCCGTCCAACGGTCGCGCTCCCCTGCGCACGATGGCACCCACGAGCTGCACCAAGCAGACCCAGCACCACGCGAAGACCAACCTGCAATAGGCGAACCCGCGCGCGGAACCTTGGCTTGCGCACCAAAAGAAAACGAGGACGAGGAGGAGGAGGATGAGGATGGAGGAAGAGGAGGGAATAGGGGGGAAGAAGGGGGCGGAAACGTGGGCAGTTGTCCGCAGCGCGCACCGCTGTGCTGCACGCTCTCGGACTGGCCGAGAAATGTGAGACAGGCCACAACAAGACAACTTATACAACATGTGACCTTGTGGCTTCCCCTAAGAAGGACCTCGGACAAGCATAGGAGGGAAAGGGAGGAGGAGGAAGACGAGGCAAAGGAAGTGGGATAGAAGGATCACAAGGCCGGCAGCGGCCGAACATTGGTCATGCGCCGCATATTGGGCCCCGTCCCAGTCGTTCGCATGTGCCCGAACAGGCGCCATGTGAACTCCGGCTCACCGCTATGATCGGAAAGAGGTGCGGGAGCGGACGGGAAGGAGAAAGAGAATAACTGGGTACCCCAACGGGAGAGGGACCTCCTCCGCCGAGGACATGCAGGCAGCAGGAACATGCCAGCTAGCCTACCATTGCCTCAAAATGCACCCAGAATGTCATGCGAAGCGCCAAATAAGTTGCAAGAGGCGTCGAAGAGATCCCCAACACAGCACCAATAATACACTCTGCAGGCCCTCGAGAGGCCAAACATGTGAATGTTCTTTGTGCTTTTCGATGTTTTTCTCTTTCCACGCTTTTCGATTGAAGATCGGTCCACTTGCGGTCTTCGAAAGCTCGAAGAGGCTCACTGAGAGCCGCAATTGGCGGCAAAGAGGGCCTATAGACGGTCTGGGATAACCCTACGATGGCCCCAACAAGAGGGTCCCGAGACGATCCAAGGGGGATCCAAAGGACCCCTACGAATGCCCCACAAGGGCCCAGGAGAGCAGCCCCCACAGAAGGCCCAAATAAGCCCCACGAGAGCTCATGAAATAAAGACGAGAGGTGTCACATGTGATGGTCTTAGGGGCGGTGCTCGAAACGTCGCCACATTGAGCGCTTCGCTGGCACGGTGGCGGATTTGCCGCAGGTAACCCGACCAACGTCGTAATATGTTGCAAACTGGTCCTGCTTTATCTTAGTTCGATGGTATCCAGAACGTCAACCAAACATTAATCAAACGTTTGGCTTGTCTTTCACAATCACTCACAAATAACATGCCCAGACTTTGTGCGGCACCGAGGCCATCGTATGCTACCGGTAGCATCACCATGATATCCTGCTTTTGACATGCACACAACACTCAACATATCTTTACCGCGTGCTACAATTCATGCGACAACGGCTCCATACTACACATCCAAGTTGTTCAGATCATGAGCGTGGTAATCAAATCAATGATGACATCACTCGTCGTCACCCATGTCATCACGTGTTTCTGTCAGCCAACAGACGCCTACCTACCAAAATGAACATAGAGATGACACCAAAGCTCATCATACATAAAACTACTAGCCCAGATAATGTCCAAGTGCAAGACGCCGTCCCCATGCCAAACATGCAAGTGCGCGGACTGGTTTTGCGGTGATCCTGCTAATTGATACGCTTCTGCACGGAGCGTTGGATGCTTGGCGTCACTTTCTGGGGACAAGTTGACCCGACTGCATTATCCGTTCCATACGGGGTCTGACTACAAGTCATGCGACCTTACCTAAACATGACGCGACGCAAGGGCACAAGCATATTGCGTAATAGTTTACTTGCTACTCTGAGCCACCAACAGATTGCACTGAAACAGACCGAAACACAACAGGCATAGGCCAACTTAACATACTAGATTCAAGCGTATCCGTCCATGCTATTGGTGCAAACGCATCCTCGATGTGGTAAGTTCGCAAACCAAGGTCCCGCATTGCCTGCGCCAAGCTAGATGTACCGGTCTTGCTCATTCCAGCCAGGATCACCTTCAGAGCGGCTGGCTGTGCTATGACGACCACACGCTACGACAATCAGGTGGTGAGAACCATGATGGCGACGAGATTTTCTTGACTTGGTGAGGGGCGAACAAACTGTCGCAAGGCGTGGGACACTCTGATTGCCTCCTGCCTTCCAAATGGCATGCGGGTTCTTCTCACCATGTCCTTTGGCAAGTTCCGGATGGCCGCATTAAACTTTGACTCGGCTGCACCATCAACTCACCTCCTTCAAAACGAATCCGACTCAAATATATAACGTAGCACCCCGCAATTGCGGATAAGAGTGAGGGGGCGGGCGCGGGCGACGCGGGTGTCGTCGAGCCGGCGGACATCGTGGCCCCCACCTTCCCTGTCGATGGCGCTCTCCTCCTCCTCCTCCTCCTCCTCCTCCTCCTCCTCGTCCTCGTCCTCGTCCTCGTCGTCATCGTTATCGTCATCCTCCTCCTCCACCTCGTCCTCCTTTTCCTCTTCTTCCTCGTCCTCCCTCTCCCCCCCTCGTCCTTCCATCATCGTCCTCCCATTGTCGTCCACCCCCTCATCGGCCTCCATCATCGTCCTCCCATTGTCGTCCGAGAGTGAAGTTGAGGAAGTCTCCACCTGAGTGGTCTTTTCCTGCAGGCGTGTGGCGCATGTTATTCTGGCCACAGGACTTTAAGAAGCGTGAGCGGGCTGGGCTGGGAAGGGATGAGCTTATAAGGGACTAGACTAACATCAGGTACTGTCTCATGTCTATTCTGATCAGCATTCGCCTGCACGCCGAGACCCCCCTTTATTTGGCATTGCAGCCAGGCGTACACGTTGAGCAAAAGCAACGGAAAGACTGATTGTAAAGGTCTCCGTCTCGTGCACAGTCTTGATGGTTTTGGGAAGGTCTATTATCAGAGTGAGGGGGCCGAACGGTCATTCACTGTCCCTGGGTGCGTGGCTGATGTGGAATTCCGCGGTGCGGATTCTTGTTGCTGTTGTTGTTGTTTGTTGTTGTTGTTTGTTGTCGTCGTCCCACCCGCAACCCGCCCCGCGACCCACCCGCGACCCACCCCGCGACCCACCCCGCGACCCACCCGCGACCCACCCGCGACCCACCCGCGACCCACCCCGCGACCCACCCCGCGACCCACCCACGCGACCCACCCCGCGACCCACCCCGCGACCCCCCCGCGGCCCACCCCGCGACCCACCCGCGACCCACCCGCGACCCACCCGCGACCCACCCGCGACCTACCCCGCGACCCACCCGCGACCCACCTTCGACCCAAACCACGTTCAAGGTACAAACCACAATTTTCGGCGCCTGCGGCGGGCTTTTTTGCATTCCTTCCAAGTGGAGAGCCCGCGACACATCCCGTGACCAACTCGCGACCAACCCGCGACCCAAACCACGTTCAGGGTACAAACCACATTTTTCGGCGCCTGCGGCGGGCATATTTTGCATTCGTTTCAGGTGGAGAGCCCGCGGCCCACCCGCGACCACGTTCAGGGTACAAACCACATTTTCGGCGCCTGCGGCGGGCATCCTTTGCATTCGTTCCCTGTGGAGAACCCGCGGCCCACCCGCGACCCAAACCTCGTTCCGTGTACGAACCAATTTTTTTGGCGCTTGCGGCGGGCTGCTTTTGCATTCCTTCCAGGTGGAGGTGGAGAGCCCGCGACCCACCCGCGACCTAAACCACGTTCACTGAACAAACCAATGCCGCACAAGCGCGGCGGCGGATTCTTGCATGCCGTCTGAGCCCGCAAGGACCTCTTCACGCCCCGCACATCCACGCCAGCCCGTCCAGCAACTTTGCCCTGGCGAGTTGCCTTGATCAGAGAAGGCGGGGAGCATAAAGTGGAAAAAAGAATTGCATTGCAGTTATCTTGGGAAAAGGGGGGGGAGGCAGGATGAGTAAACAGGGGACAACGTGGAAGAAGAGAGGATGTAAGGAGAACGTGGAGAAAGAAAAGGAGGAGGAGCAGGAGGACGAGGGGGAGGAGGGGGAGGAGGGGGAGGAGGAGGACGAGGAGGGGGAGGATGGGGAGGATGATGATGATGGACGACAATGGGAGGACGATGATGGAGGCCGATGAGGGGGAGGACGACAATGGGAGGACCATGATGAAAAGACGAGGGGGGGAGAGGGAGGACGAGGAAGAAGAGGAGGAGGAGGAGGAGGACGAGGTGGAGGAGGAGGATGACGATGACGATGAGGACGAGGAAGAGGAGGAGGAGAAGGAGGAGGAAGGAGGAGGAGGAGGAGGAGGTGGAGGAGAGCGCCATCGACAAGGAAGGTGGGGGCCACGAGGTCCGCCGGCTCGACGACGCCCGCGTCGCCCGCGCCCGCCCCCTCACTCTTATCCGCAATTGCGGGGTGCTACGTAAACATCTCTGGCGCTCTAATCCTGGTCTGGGTGCTAATGCTAACCGTCCTTATGCATATGGCTATCTTCGTCGTCGTCGTCGTGAGGGTGCTATCCTGGTGCAGAGTTTATGCGGAGAAAGGCTACGAGAATCGAAGCTCAGTTTTTCCAGACTTTCTACGACGCGATCAACGCGTTTCACTGTGTGGAGCACTGGCTGCTCAAGAAGATTGCCGAGATACATGCATCGACGTTCGCTTTCAAGCTTCTGTGTCAGCGTCTTGACCACGGCCAGATGTCTCTCGAATGTGTGGACGGTATCTTGGAGCTTGGGATTGGTTCGGGGACTCTTCCTGGGGATACCGTGGCTCCTGTCTGGTTCCTGGGGGCCTATCACTGGTGTCTTGATGGATAGATTGGGGGTGACAGTCCTGGGCTTCGCGTCAAGGTTCCGTGGTTCAAGCACTGTTTGGGGGAAGATGAGGGTGCTCGATTGGCGCTGTGCTCATGGTCCGATCGTGCGATCGACATCTCTTTCACTGGCTTCGCTGATGACCTGTACCGCACGCAAGTTCTGCAATCGTGTGATGGGCTCGTCAGACTAAGTGCTGCCAACCTCGAGCGCCTCCAAGACCGCGTGAAGATTGGAGGCGTTAGCCTGAATGGCAGCAAGCAAGAGAGCTTGGTACACTTTCTCGGGAGGGGGGCTCACGTGTCCAAGCGCAGGGTGTTCTCGGGCTGTTTTGTTGAGTCTAGAGGCTCCTGGAGGCTGTCGTCGGGTGAGTTGGTTCCTGGTCGTGTAAAGCAGAGCTGCCGGTACCTGGGGCCGTTCATTCGCTCTGACGGGGGGTGCGGGGATGAGTACCCTCGGCGGATCCAGAAGGCGAGGTCTAGCTTTGGGCTTATTGGAAGGTTTTGGCATAACTGCACGAACTTGCGATGGAAGAGCATAGTGTACCAAGCTGTCATTGAGGGTGCTCTGACGTCAAGGCTTGCGTCCTTTTCTATTTCTTCGGAGTGTAGTTCTCGGCTTGACGGAATGCAGGCTATTCTTGCTCGACGTGTGATGAAGGGGGAAGGGTGTATCAAGGTGGAGGTGGATGGGGACACTGACTACAAAGCCAGAACTACCAAAGATATTGTTTGCCAACTTCGCCTTTGCCCTGTTTCTCTTCGGTTTCGTATTCAGAGGCTGAAATGGTTTCAACATGTTGTACGCTGGCCACTCAGCAATGTGCAGCTGATTGGTGCGCTCTTCGGGATCGCTGAATGGGAGGAGGAGGGCTTCGTGGACAGGGAGGGGTATGTGAGTGGCAAGCCCCGTGAATGGTGGACAGAATTCATGGCAGATTTCTCTGAGCTGGCGAGAGTGGCAGAGTTCCCAGAGGTGGTGCCGCAGGTGCACGGCTTCCCTGCTGCTCTCTTTTGTGACCCAGATGTGCGGTCGAAGTTCCTGGCTGCTGATCCCAGCGTGCTGTTCAGCGAATTCACAGGTAAACAGATACCCCCTCCTCTCGAAGGTGTTGTCCCCTGCCCTTCCTCTCCTTCTCCTCCTCCTCCTCCCTCCCCCCCGTCTCCGTCCTCTGTGTTTCGATGTGACCGATGCCTTGGAGAGTCGGGGGGTGTCTGTGGGGCCTCGCTTCCCACGAGGAGGCGGCTTCTGCTTCACCAAGCTAACTCTCGTTGTCCTAATCATGGGCTTCCTGTTCTAGCTCGTGTGGCTACGATTTCTCATGCTTGCATCTTATGTGGTGAAATGTACACTACTCGAAGATATGCTAGCGAACATCTGGCTAAACATTTAGAACGTGGTCAATGTCCCAGGTCTCGGGGGTCCTCTGTTCAGTATTCCCACAAAACGTCCCCACCTTATGAATGTGTGCTTTGCGAGCTGAGTTTCAGTAGTTACGGGGTGGCTCAGTGGCATCTTCGTTCTCATCTTCCATTGGACAATCAGGTGTTCTTGCTGTGATGCAGCAGCAGAGGGCCGCCATGTTCGCCCAGGTTGGCGCCAAGCCTGCAGCGGCCTCGGCGGACGATGAGAACCAGAGGTCCAAGCGCGTCGCTCTCTCTTCCACGGCTGAGGCAAAGGCGGACACGGCCTTGAAGCTCAGCGTGATCAACTCGCAGCGTAACAGGCTGCTCGAAGCCGCATTCACGTACCAGTTCACCCTGGGGACTGACGATGTGCTGTACACCTCCATGAAAAACGCGCACGGCCAGGAGTACCTGCCGAGGGTGAAGGGACACAAGGGCCACAACCTCGGTACTCCAGACAGTTTTCAATTCGCTGCGGCCTCTTTGCTATTGGCGTCCCGAGGGGACCACAGAGCAGCAGGCCGTGATCCGCAAGTACCTCGATACCAATGCTCCTGATTCCTTGGTTGCCCAATTTATTGTGAAGCTCTTCAGGACGGAGAAAATGCATGACTCCAAAAGCAGGAGGCTGATCATGGCGCTGGCCGACAAGGAGTTGGAGGTGGTGGTGGTCGATCTTCTTCACTCTCACATGCATGTTCCTGTATTCACTGGTCCCAGGCCTGTTGGATTCTTGGAAGTCGAGGGCCAGAAGATGCTGGAGAAGTGATCGTGTCGAGCTGAATCTGCCTGCCTGTCGCCGTGGTCTGTGCCCTGTGCCACACTTTGCGTTT